GAACCATAATCTTCAAATACAAAATTTAATAAAATATCCAGAAAGACACAAAGATAAAGGCGAATTCCATATCCCCTATGCTAGGACAAATTTGTACAAATGCTCCTTCTTCCCTAGTGCTATTAGAGCATGGAATGGGTTGCCTGAGATAGCCAGGAAAACCAGTGACTTGGCAGAATTTAAGTCATTGGTTAATATGCATGACGCGTAGGACGTAACCATCTTCTTATTTGAAGTAACGTCTGTATTATATAAGATAAGATAAGATACATACTACAATCTTGCCCACTATTTCAACTTGTTCTTTCCTTCCGTCTTCGTGTTTACCTCCCCTTGTCTAAACTAACTTGTTGCAGGAATGTTTTCCTGTAAACGCTTGGCTGCTTCATTTACCACCTTGCCTTAGCCATGCATGACGTTATTTTCCACCGAATTCTGAAGTAATCCTTCATAACCATGTAGTCATAAGGCCTCTCTTCCACTTACTCTTTAACCGAATTATCTCCCTTCCCTGCCAATGTAAACAATAGAACGTGTCGTTTCGTCCAGACCGTGTAGACCCTAAACTTGTACCTGTGTTTATTTTACCTAGATCTAGTGACATTTTGTTCACTGTCTAGGATCTTAGATAGGCCTAATAAAAGTTTAGGCAAGCGTCTAGCTTTTGCAGTATACAAAATAAATGTAGCAAAACTTTTAGGCATAGACCTTATGGCAATGTTTCCCAAATTTTTTTTTCTGTGGCTGCCGATATTCCAGAACTAACAGTAACTAACTCCAGGGAGATCTTTTGTAGTGTACAAAAAAAGACAAAAATTATCTATGATGCTTACTTTCGAATGAGTTAAATTGCGAAATTCATGCTATCGAACTTCGTCAAAGATTTGCGTTAGCTGAACTATGTATATTATATATATATATATAGTCGGGATGTGGTGAATTAGTTGCTAAACGCTTGGCTTCTGAATCTGGGGTCCTGGGCTCGAATCTCGGTGACGACTGTGATATATAATCTTATATTATAAAGTAGAATGTGAGGCGTATGTATGTTACTTGTAGACATCAAAACCGCTTGACCAATCTTGATAAAACTAGGCAGAAATGTTCCTTGGGTACTAACTTAGACCGTAGTGTGTGTATTGTATCCCTAAAACAATTTTAAGACCCTCAAAAAAAAAATAAAGTTGTCCGACTCTATAAAAGCTATAGTATTTATGGATCTAGGCCATGGTTAACAATGTTGACATGAGAAAAGATCGAAAGGATTTAGACCTAGATCTAATTTTAAGAAATACACTTTGCGCAGATAGTTTTTTACTTTGACACATGAAAATACAAAAGAAGATCCATTGATTTCATTATGTAATAAAATTAACCTTCAATTTTGTGTTTCAAAAGCATTTTTTACATAAATTAGTTCCTGACTAATGTGACTTCTGTGACTACAGAATTCCTGGCGAACATCCTTTCATTAGACATTACCAAATGGTTACACATTAACAGTGATTAACACATCTCTCTACTGAGTCTATTCCTAGGCCTAGGTCTAAAACTCTTATTGAACTCTAAGATGATAAAACTTCTTTTCGCAAAGATAGTTTTATGCTTTAACACATAAATATACTAATTGGTCCATTCATTTCATATTTAAATCAAATTAACATTCAAATTTGTTTTTCTAAAGCATTTTTAATACACTCGTTCGCTTAAGCTGCGTAGCCGTGTTGAGATAGGCCTATATTCATTCATGAAAAAAGGTCACGCATGCGCAACACAGAATGAACTCTGTAAAAGCCAATTTTTAACTCTAGATTAGAGTAGATTTAGATCTATGTCTACCTCAAGATCTACTTTATACTTTAACACATGAACATACAAAATTAAGTTTATTCATCTCAATTTTAATAAAATACATGTAGGCCTACAAGCAAATGTTTTAATTTGAAAAAATGGATTTAAGCCTATTAGCTATTTTGATTTGATAGCTTCATTCACACTATTTTTACATTGACACATTCGCTTTCCTTATTACATTATCATTTCTCAGTGACTATATCACAGTAATGCGCAAATAAAGACCCGCGGGACGCGGGTAACATATGTCTAGTATATATATATATATATATATATATAGTGGGGATGTGGTGAATTAGTTGCTAAACGCTTGGCTTCTGAATCTGGGGTCCTGGGCTCGAATCTCGGTAAAGACTGATTTTGAATTTCAGGATTTTTAGAGCGCCCCTGAGGAGTACCTGTCTTTAGTTGGGGAAAGTAAAAGTGGCTGACACCCTGCTCGTTAACCATTGGCCAAAGAAACAGATGACCTTAAAATCATATGCCCGTAGATTGCAATGTCTGAAAGGGGAAACTTTACTTAATTACTTTCGAAAAGAAAATAGACGGAATAACCATGATGAGCATATATTAAGCAGATTTTTTTCAAAACATATATATACTGTAAGAAAAACAGGAAAGTTATATTAAAGTTACTTGTCTTAGGGTTTCTTTTTAGTCTGTTTTAAAACCTCCAGGACTCAGCTGAGAGAGCTTACAAGGAGGTGAGGGGGAGGATTACAGATAACAGTTTGAAAGTTTACGAAAACATTTGGCTAGATTTATTTTGTACATTTCAAAAGTTACAACGTAATCTTTTTTTAAGACTAGTCCGAGACAGCCAGCCAACACTGAAATGTAACTAGAGCTAGATAACATAAACATGACAAACACTTGCCTAGGATCTATACAGTCTGGACGACATGTCGCGTTCTATTGTTTGAATTGGGGAGGAAACAGATAAATTGGTTGAGTAGGAAGGAGAGAGAGGGAGCACAATGACCACATTGTTACCAGTATGAACTGAGAACTTGGCCGAGAAGAAAGCATTGGAAGACTATGGTAGTGGGCAAGGTAAAGTCAATGAAGCGTCACGGTCGAGCGTGGTGGGAAAACAATGACGATACAATATGGCTGATCGGTTTGTGAAGGAAAAAAAAAACGAGGGTTTAAGGAATAGTCGAAGTAAAATAGTGGTGTATTTTTTATTTATTTATTACTATCCAGAAAATATATTTGACTTCTCTAATGACATACTAACTAATTGTTTTAATTAAAATAGAAAGGAATGTCGTAATTGGAACAACTTTTAACAATATAACTCTAGTAAGCTACATAATTTAATTAATCTAGATTTTTCATAAAGTTACAACAAAATCCAATACTGAGATAGACTAAAATCTCGGATGTTTCTTATATCATAGCGGAGACCGTAGTGAATTTTTAATGCCCCTCCACGACCAGGACACCCCGAAAATAAAAATAAAAAATCCTAAATTTATCTCTATTAAAGAGTGAAACTTTGTAACAAATTGGGTAAACCTGTTATTACAGTATTTATATGTCATGGGAATATGTCGGCTAAGCAGGTAGACATATTTTCATACTCTACTTTTATTTTCGTAGCAAAATAAAAATATCCATGACATTTCCCATGTTTGAAATAGGTCTAAATCTAATCCACTATATCAGTAATACCCCAACTAAGGCCTGGAGGCCGTGGGTAATATTTGGCTATAGTTTTTAAGCTAGCTTTTCAACTCAATACAAAATAAAACTGGTCAAACTCGAGAACGTACTTACTTGCAAACATCTCAAAATAAAACAGACTGCTTGAAACGTTGGACGTAAAATAAACGTCAAGCCACGAAAGAAGGGACAGTGTCCACTCCTGCCTTTTATGTATTAGTAGCCATCTGGGGGCAGAAGTCCGGTGGCTATCCGCTGCGCCCCCTATAGAATAGTTCCCTATAATATAGTTCCCACCTCTAAACACAGATGAAATATCAACAATGACCATGTTGGTTATTTACAATAGAAAGCACAGAGTAAGGCTTATTCATGCCAGTGGAGTAACAAGGTACTTTTTAGCAGGGGGTTCAAGAATAGGATGATTCCCCACCCCCTTTTATTACATTATGACGAAATTAAATATAATCTTATTTAATACAGACGTTACTTCAAAAAAGAAGATAATTACGTCCTACGCGTCATGCATTCCTCGTCCCATATGCTAGGACAAATTTGTACAAATGCTCCTTCTTCCCTAGTGCGATTAGAGCATGGAATGGGTTGCCTGAGCTAGCCAGGAAAACCAGTGACTTGGAAGAATTTAGGTCATTGGTTAACATGCATGACTGAATGCATGACGCGTAGGACGTAATCATCTTCTTTTTTGAAGTAACGTCTGTATTATATAAGATAAGATAATATAACCAATGACTTAAACCTGTGCCGTGTCATGATCTGTCATGTGCCTCTGTCTCCCAGGTGGCTGTGTCTATGCTGAGCGCCTTCAGAGAAGGCTTTCTTTGACCACCTTGAGAGCCCTTTCCTTCGCTTAGTTGGCCATACAAGAGTCGTTTAGGGATGCGGTGGTATGTCATTCTACAGACGTGTCCTGCCCATCACAGCTGAGACTGCATCAGGGTTGTATGGATGCTTTGCAGACCCGCTCTTCGAAGGACTTCAGTATCTGGTATTTTGTCTATTTGACATTCAGTATTTTTCTTAGACATGTCATGTGGAAGTGGTTCAGTTTCATTGCATGTTTTCTGTACACTGTCCACGTTTCTGAGGCATAGAGCAATGTAGGGAGGATGACGGCTTGATAGATACGCCGGTCGATTTCATTATCAATCTTTCCGTTTCTGGAGAGTGTACTGCCATAATACGCGAATCTGTCCACTGCGTTTATATCAAATAAATACAACGTTTATTATTAGCATTCTTTGAGAATTGTTAAAATAAGAATATACATGCATATAACTTTAAAGTAATTTTTATATTTGTTTGTTTTGTGAATGGGTAATGATCTATAGTTCGATAAATTGTATACAGAACTTAAGTACATCTGTTGAATGTAACATTTTGACAGGGACTACAGAACACGGGAACCCACACAAACTAAATTATTACATTTTTGAAAATTTAAAAAAAAACAAAAACATTTTATTTTGTACTATGTACAGGTTTAATCTCTGCAGGTCACTCAGGTGTAAACATACATTTTAGGTTTACAAGTAAAATATTTTATTAAGTCAATCTATATGTGTTTAGATTTAAATAATTTTACTGAAGATCTATTCTCCAATATTGAAAATTTAAAAAAAATAACAAGCTCCGGTTATTAAGTTAAATTTATCTGATTACATACAATATTTTATTTATACAATGTTTTAAAATTAAATGATTATATTTAGCAAGCCAGCGAAAAAAAATGCATTGTATTCAAATATATAGTACATCTCTAATTATCATATTACTGTTTTGTTTGATTAATTGACAACGATGTGAGGTCCAGACGTTAAAGTCGACCCGAGTGCACTCCTCTTGCTGAGCCCGCTCCTTCTCTTCCTGCGTGCGCCACCGGAAGCGCCACACCTGAACCCGCACTTGTCATCGTGACATATGCTGACGTCACAGTGGATGTAGACCACGTCATCTGTGTTTGTGTTCCCGGAGAAGTGGAAGGTTTGAACGCTGAACCTGTAAGTCTCCGGGCTGGGGCTGGATTGCAGATGTACAGCTGGTGTAGCTGGGCAGCTGTAGAATTATACAATGAATAAGAAAATATTTTCATAAAAGTTGTATATATGTGAAATAAAAAAATAAATAAATGGAATGATCGAAATAGCAAAATTCATTATAACGCATTTCCGTCTAAGCTTTGCGTTATTTCAACATCAATCTATAAAGTCGGGGGATGGGGTATATGAGTGGCGAAGCGCTTGGCTGTCGAACCCAGGGCTCTCTGGTTTAAATCTCGGAGAAGACTGGAATTGAATTTAGGAAATTTTAGGACGCCCCTGAGTCCTCCCAAATCAAACGGGTACCTGACATTAGTCGGGGAAAGAAAAGACAGTTGATCGTTGTGCTGGTCACATGACCCGCTTGTTAACCGACGGCGATAGATGACCTTTGCATTATTTGCCATATAGATCACAATTTGACCTTAGACTACATTTTTCATTATATTGACCGTTTAACAGGTTTGTGTCTAAAGTTTTAAAAATAAGGATTAAATTTAAAGAAGCAATCTAAGATGTGCAGTACACATTTTACTATAAGCAGAGGAGTAAACAAAATTAGAATGTAAACTAGAGATTTCACTAAAATGTAGGCAAATTCATAAATAGTAAGAATTATTTTGTGTATTTAGTATTGTTAAAAATATACACTTTCTAGCACATTTTAATCGAATGAAAAATCATAATCCAAGATAACTTTCAATAAAATTGGGTTTGCCTAGACAAGTAATATGCCCTCCAGACTTGCGTCAGATGATTCCGAGTTCGAATTCTGCTGCCACCATTCCTTGCCGTCGTATGATAAAAAAAAAAAGCTAAAGTTCCCCTTTCAGACCTAGCGATCTATAGGGCAGATAATGTAAAGATCATCTGTTTCTTAGGCTAACGGTTAACGAGCAGGGTGACATGTGGCCAGCACAAGGACCAAACATCTTTACATTCCCCAACTAAAGTCATGTACCCCTAATTCAGAATCTCAGTCGTCGCCGGGATCCCCAGGTTCGGAAACCAAGCGCTTAACCACTCAGACATCGTCCCTTTAGTACAGCACACAGTTACTTATGCCAATATACCAATTTATGGGAAGCGTGGTCGAGAGGCTAAGTGCGCTTGCACTTGGCTTGTCTTGGCTACCTAGAAGGGGGCTCGAGGTTCGACACCCGACTCGGGCGGAGTTGCGTTTACTGAGCGCCTAAAGGCAGCACGGAAAAACCAACTCCTAGATTCCCCCCCCCCCCCCCCACTGGTCCACAAATGAGATTGGACCAAAGCGCTCTGAGCATGCTATAAGCATGAAAGTAGTAGCGCTATATAAAAAGCTATAATAATAATATATATAGTAAGGAGTCTATTTAATAAAGCTAACTTTTAATTGTCAAGGTTTCACGAAATAATAATTTAAATTTAGAGAAACAAAAACACAAATGTTCATTACTTTAAATGATAACTTTAAATCAATAACTAAACGGAAGGCAGGTTCTCTATTGGCATAAGCCAGTGTTTCCCAAACTGTGTTCTGCGGAACCTCAGTGTTCCGCAAGGCCTGTACAGGTGTTCCAAGAATTACTGGAATAATTAACTTGAGGGCCACCACATGTATAACTCTTGACATAAAAATAAACAAAGTGTTCAGTTAAATACTCAGAAAGCACGAAATGTTCCATTGAGGAAAAAGATTGGGAAACACTTGCAAAAGCTATCTTTGTTCTTACATATTGTCTTTTTTTTTTTTTTATTAATACTGTGTTACATACTTGTTACATGAATTAGTAATATGAGTAGACAGTTTCGTGGTATTTTTAACTTGGCACCTACTAATCTTCCTATTTAATGTGTACTTTTACTACTAAAAAAATATTTATTTGTTAAAAAAAAAAAAAATAAAAAAATGCAAGCCCAATAAAAGAGGTAGAGTTCAAAAAAAGAACCAAAGAAGGACAAAAGCCCAAAGGATTCCTAGGATGTAAACAGCTTAGTATACGACATTAGAAGCTAAAAAGCTGTGGTATCCTAAATTAAAAAAAAATGAAATAAATGTGCTGGTATTAGTATGCATCTAAACATGTTCTTGGGTAGCTATCTATTTTAAACGACTGCGCCCTCAGAAGTCTTTGTCATTTTGTATGTTCTTTTGTGTTGTGTATAAGATATTGATGCAACTACAAAAATTACGGGAAAAACAAACTTAAAGAAGCCGAAAAGAAATGTGTTTCATTTTGTGTGTAGATGTGTGTATGTGTAGAATCTGTGGGTATGGTTATGCATGTAGTAATGTGTAAGTATTGGTGTGTATTTACTTTTATTTCCAGTTAGTTACGTATTAGTTGCTGGCACGCTATTATTCCTATCATATTTCTGGCTCTGAATAATCTCATCTGATGGTTTCAGTAACTATTTACTTTATCTATGCTTTTAAATTATAATAATAATTATTATTATTATTATTTTGTAAATCAAGGCGATGCATGGTAATCGAATGAATTATATTTGTAAATTTTTTGTGTGAGAGTTATAATAAAGGTTGGAGAGGCACTCAGAGCTTTGTTTGTTCTGGGACACTATTTAAAAAAAAATGATTACTCACAGATACTATATTTTATCTTTTTAGTCTGTGGTGATTCTAACAAAACTTCAGGTGGGCTGGTGGAGGTTAGTTATCCCGGGATCTCATTTGGGGAAAAAATTATTGCCAGACCAGACATACTAGAAATCCTAATCAACTTATATCTAGTCCACTAAATTCCTCATGGGCTCACTGCAATGCTGTTGATCTTAATTCGATGACAAGTTAACATGACCTGAGTGATGTCCAAGAGAATTGTGCACGTTGATTAGTCCAATTTTAAGTTTACATTGTTGGACATAAAAACATTTTCAATAGAAATTTATGCTGGTCTGGCAGCTGTTAAACGCACCAACAAAAACATTTAGCATTGTGTTTCTCGGAATGTTTGGGCTTCCATAGAAAATTAAGACTGTTACCCTCAAAAGAATCCAAATGTCAAGGACTTTGTTTGTTTGCCGTGTATAACACATGTGTACGTACATGTGTCTACAACAGTGAACAATAAAACAACCCAATGATCGTCAAGTTTGAACAATGTCTGGACGATGTTAACTTTGTTGTGAAGGAACTTACGAATTTGTCTTGTGTGTTTTTGACAATTTTATATTCTACTGAAGAAAAAAAAATGTATCCCTAATTATTTTTTTTTCTATCTATAAAAACTCTGTATTCGTAGTGATTCTATCAGACCTCCTGGATCTCCCGGTGTCATTTGGGAGAGATGGGGTTGTCTCGGGGTTTTCAACTAGTTTCAAGACAGAAAAACTTATCTCTGAACAGACTTAACGTATTGGTTTGCTTGAGGTCTGGTACACATTAAAGTTGGGTGGACTCAAGGGAGCCCAAATAATTCAGAAATTCAAAATCCCAATATTTACTGAGATTCGAACCCATGACCCTAGGTTCGGAAGCCAAGCGCTTAACCATTCAACCGTAATAATTATCCTTTCTGAATAAAAGTTTAAAAAAAAAATATCCATCTTAGTCTAATATAAACGAAGCAAAAAACAACAAAAACAAATATATCTAATGGGGAAGAACTCCTCCCTTTCAACTATATCTATCGATAATGCAGAAGTTATTCGATATTAAAAAAAATTTATCAATAGTTAATTGAATAATTTGTAACTTTTTATTGATTCATGTTTTGTAAGGTACAATAAATAATTATTTAAAGTATTAACTTTATCGGAGAATGCGTGAGAGAGGAATACCGTTAACAATTAATTAAGTGGACTAGACCCTGATAATCTAGCCATGTCGTTTTATACTTAAGGATGAATCTCCCTTGTTGGTTTATAACAAAATAATATTGACTCTTTCTCTTTTCATTCTGTGGTAATTCTACCTGAACAAAAATTAATATCTTTTAATATTGGAGGATAAGTCTCCCTTGTTGGTTTCAAACAAAACCATATTAACTACTAGTAATTGACTAATTGGTAAATGTTTTATGATGATTCATGTCTTGTCTAATTGAGCAAAGTGTGAGAAATAACGTTTACACACCTTTTACCAGACAGACAGACAGATTGACAGATAGACAAATAGATTTGATACGAGTTTTGTAAAAAAAAAACGACACTTTAAGAAATCTTCTATACGAGTATATTATTTTACTCTATATGACTTTGTCGTCTAGATGCGCGCATCTGAGCCTGTGGTGTTGGTTACTTCTGCTACGATCAGACCTCAGCTTGGTCATACTTTAATTCGCAATAAAAGAACAGTTCCAATCATTATCTCTAGTCACAGCTCATTTGATAACAATCTTTGAAAAGTAACATCTTCACTAGAAAAGCTCGAAAAAAAAAAGAGGGGGGGGGGTAAGGAAGTGACTCGGACTTCTGGCACCCTTCCAGGTCAGATCTGTCCCAGCAAGATACAAGAAGATTTACTAGCCTGTCTCTGATCAGCAGATAACTGGTGGAGTCGTGAGGGTCAGGGGAGGGCGTGGCTCGACACTCGTTGACCTTCACCCCCAGGGTAGTGTTCCGGGATGTTTCGTCAGCTAGAGTGACTTCTAAAAATATCTCCTTGTTTATGGAAACCTGCATAAAAATAAAAATGTGTATTCTTTAGAAATGAAACAAAAG